GACCTGCGGTTTGGCGAGTGGCTGGACAGCCCCGCCCTGCCGCCCGCGCCCGCCGCAGCAGCCGCAGCCCTGGCGTCCCTCTCGCGGCTGGTCAGCTTGCAGCTCGGAACTCCCCAGTGCCACGGCAGCGGCGGCGCCGGCGCGCCTGCGGCGCTCGGCGCGGCGCTGTCGGCGCTCTCGCGGCTGACCCGGCTGGAGGCCAGCTGTGACAGCAGCGGGGAGCCCGTCCCGGCAGGCGCGGGCGGTGGCGGCGGCGGCGGCGGCATCGCGCCGGCCCTCAGGGCCGGCGGCTGCGCCTCCCTGCGGGAGCTGCATCTGGGTGTACCTGTCGGCAGCCTGGTGGACATTGGATCGGCAGGGGTGGAGTTGCGCGGCGTCACCGGGCTCACGGTCAATCCGAGGTAAGCCATTTCTCCTTGAAGGCTGTACCAAAGCTCCCAACTTATCTGCTCCGCGGCCGGCGCGGCATGCACGCTCGCCTCCCGTCGCTTTTTCCGGCAGCCGCGCTGTCGCGTGCGTGCTCCTCGGCAGTGGGCCCGCTGTGACGCGCCCCGTCACTCAGGCGCGCAAACCTGCCCCCCGCCGCAGCGGCTGGCCCGGGCCGCTGACGCCGTCGCAGTTGGCCGCCTTCCGGCTCCACGTCGCCTTCCCAAACCTCGAGGCTCTACACTGGCGTGACTGGGGCCCGGGCATTCTCCTCGCGCCGCCAGGCGCGGGTGGGGGGCCCGCGCTGCCCGTATTCCCTCGGCTCAGGGAGCTCAGGGCGTCCGCGGTTCGCACGGTCGGGTGCAGCTCAGACGGCGGTTATGGCGGTTACGGCAACGGGGGCCCCCAGGGCCCGCTCGTCGACGGTGCCGTAATCATCGGCGGTGTGCTGCACTATGGGCAAGGAAATGGCGCCGGCGGCTTCCAGCAACAGCAGCAGCAGCAGCAAGCAGGCGCTCCGCTCAGCCCGCTCGCCGCCATGGCGCCCCGCCTCGAGACGCTCATCGTCATCGCCCGCCAGCAGCAGGGCTGCTGGGGCCTGGACCTCCGCGCGGCGCGCGGCCACCCTCGCCTCGCCAACCTCGTTTTCTCGGCCCCAGATGACGGCGACGACGTGCCTGGCAGCGTGCCGCCGGGAAGCAGGCGCCGCGTAGGCGGCGGCGGCGGCGACGATGAGGGCAGCTTCCCTGCGGCCGCGACGTGCGCGTTTGCGGGCGCCGAGCTGCTGCCGGCGCTGCGCAGCGTCGCGCTCAGAGGGGACGCATTCTTTGGCGGCGGCTACGTAAGTGGCGTCGAAGCGGCCTGCACACTATATCAGGTGGCCGCCGCGCTGCCGCCGTCGGTGACTGACCTCGAGCTCGACCTGCCCCGCCGCCAGCTGCCCGCGGCGCACGCGCTGCCGCTGCTCGGCGCCGCGCTCGGCGGCAAGCTTGAGCGGCTGGCGCTCGGCAGGTGCGAGCTGCCTGGAGACGGGGCGGAGGCGGCGCGCGCGTGGCGGGGGCTGGGGCTGTTTGAGAGGCTCCAATCCCTGGATATGGAGGCGGCCAGCTGGCGCCCTGCCATGCTGGACTCGTTTGAGGGCCTCGCCGCCGCGCTGGCGCGGGGCGACCACGGCGGCCGCGAGGAAGCTGCCAGCGCGGGGCATGCGGCGGAGGGGGCGGCAGCGCTGCGCTTGCGGGCGGTGACTGTCGGCCTGCCTTGCGGGGCGGCGGGCGCCGAGGCGGCGGCGCGGCTGCGGGGGCTGGAGGCGCAGTGCGGGGGTGCACTGCGGTTCCGGCCGTGCTGTGGGCGCTGATGGCGTTCGATTATTTGCTGCGATGTACTTCAGTCATGTCATTCCCTTGCCACCCTCTTGCCCTCGTGACGTCATTAATTCATTCATTTATTGCAGAATGTCGGATACTTCAAGCTCTGGGCAGGCTGATTTGAGCTGTTACCATGCACACACCCTCACGCAGACCATGCTTTGCACAGGCATACTAGCGAATAGCAGCAGGGGCAGCCGCGCTCAGGCGGCGCGTGCGCAGCAGCGACGGGGGCGGGCCACCGTCCGCGCGCAGAACGCGCGCCATCACGCGATTGGGCGCCCCAGCCAAGCGTCTATAAGCCGCTGCATCCTTCCGCTGCACCAACAACAAAAAGCGCCGCCCGCGGCTGCACGGGGCCAGCGCCGGCTGGCCCCTGCGCCGCCGCGGCCTGCAAAGAACAGCCACGCCTCAACCCACACACCGCGGCCGCGCGCCACCAAAGGCGCTGCCCAGGCCGCTTTGGGCGCCGGGGCCGCGCCTGTGCAGCGGCGCCGGCGGCGCGCGGCTAGCCGAGAGCCCGGGAGAAGCGGGGACATGAGGGAAGAGAGGGGGCGCCCGGGCGCCCCCCACTCGCACTCCCTTCCCCTTCAAAACCGAAAACGGCAGGCTGCCTAAAGCTCGTCCTTCTCCTCGTCCTCCTCCTTGTCGGCCTTCTTCTCCTTCTTGGGCAGCTCGAACTTCACCTTGGCGTTCTTCTTCAGGAACTTGGTCAGGGCCTGGGGGCGGCGGCAGGCGGAGGGCCGGGGGTCAAGGGCTCGCCTCACAAATAGCTGCTGATATCAAAAACAATGCGACGGCGGAAGGATGGAGGAGGCGCGCCCCGTCAGGTGCGCAACCACCCGCCCGACGCGGGGGCCCTGCGTGTCGTGTGTTTTCGCGGCGCCCCCGTGGCGCTGGGACGGCCGCGCGGCGGCGCACCTTGAGGCTGCGGTCGCCGCCGTCGAAGGTGATGGGCTTGGCGCCCTTGCCGGCGGGGAAGAGCAGGATTGTGGGGAAGCCCTTGACCTCGACATCCCCGTGCTCGTTCTCGGTGCCGTCCATCTTGGCGATGACCACAGAGTCAACCTTTTTTTT